ATAATCAATGAAAATTATCCCACGCACATCCCAAAAAACTGACGTCATAATCTTGCCAGCCGATGGAGTTGTCTTCGCCTTTTTCGGACCCGATTCTCCCCTTTCAGTCCATTGTTTCGACTGTTCTTTCGTCTCAGGTGTGAAATGATGAACCCATGTTTCATCCATGGTTATGAATCGACGTAAAAACTCGGCCTTATTACTGCGAAACGTCGCCAAACACTCGATTGAAACATCCTCACGACGCTGTTTTTGTTCAATTGTGAGCAAACGCGGTATCCATCGTGCGCACAGCTTTTTCATGTCCAAATTTTCAGTCAATATGCGATGTACAACACTTTTTTATATGCCTACCATGTCAGCTAACTCGCGCACTTTCAGTCGACGGTCATCCAATACCATTTTGTGGATTTTCGTCACTATTTCTGGCGTGGTCACCTCATTTGGTCGACTACTGCAATGTTCGTCTTGGCAGCTCTTACGGCCTCTTTTAAACTCTGCCACCCAATATTTTGTTGTTGTAAACGAGGGAGCAGACTCCCCCAGAGTAGAATCTAGCTCAGTTTTGATATTGGTTGGACTGAGACCTTTCAAATGAAAATATTGTATCACATAACGATGACCAATTTTCTCCATGTTTACAAATGTACTGAGAGCGTTCACTATTGATGACTGCCAAACTAATACTAGACGTAGCGTCTTGAAACTTCAAACTTCAGCTTTATAAGGTTGATGCTTTCGGCCATAGTGATTTTTTTCAAACAACAACCGCCATCTATACGTCAGGTCGGGTACTTCTGAGACTACCCTCGTACAATACAACATTGAGTTTAGAGAAAAATGTTTATCGAAAGAATATCTTCGTAAAATGAAAGATTGAAAGGGAGAATGAGAGAAAGAAATAGGGGGGAAGGGAGAGAGGAAGGGAAGAGAGATGGTTGCCTCGCGAGACAAAGATTCATCGTGTCGCGATCATTCTAGCTTTCCGGACTAGATAATTCCGCTGATTAATGCAGGTGCGTAACGCGGGGTTGGCTAATAAACGCGCCTTACATGACGCCGAGGCCGTCGCCGACGACGACGACGACGCACTTTGCCATGTTGTCGTGCCGTTAATAGTCCGATGAGAAGACGTAAATTATTGGCTTACATTATTGCGACGAGCGAACGAGCGAGTGAGTGGACCGGCAAAGTCGTGCTGCTGAATTAACGAGGACAAAATTAACTGCTGTGATTAAATTTCAAAGGGTCGGCGAGCGAGCCGGAAGAGCGTAACGCCGCGCGTAATTGCTCGAGCGCGAGTGAGATCAATCCGCCTTGTAACGGTTTTGCGCATAGCATACGGGCATTTCTTATTCACTTATTAGACATTCGTATCCCTTTGGTACATATTCTTTGGTTAACGTTAACTACATTCCCAAGCAGAACATAAGATCACGGTGACGTCGAAATGACAAGAAGATGATCGAATCATGATCGACAAACGAGTTTCTTAATTATTTTTTAACGTCTTTGTGATTATCTGTCCTGTCTGAATGTACACGTGGACGTGATTTGCCGACCGTGCATTCACCGCGACGTTTTCGTAGTCATGAGATCATCCGCAGGATCGTCTCACGTTCCGAAACTCCGCGACGGCAAAGCGCCACGATCGTGATCTCGTATCTTCGGTTGATCGCATATCCTGTCCACGTTAATAGGGATAATTTAGATGCAAGATTACGTCTTTACAATAATGTCTCGATCTACAAGCGATCAAGAACACAAATGAAGATTTCCCTAACCACGATTCTACACCACTTCTACAATTTCTTCTAACCATCGATGTCGAATGAATTGAAGATAGGTGGATATATTTCAAATACGTTTATTCTGCGAATAAAATACGAGGGAAATAACTTTAAGTAATATCAACAGCTCTTGTGAAAACGAAATTCAATGCGTAAAGAAATGGCAAATGAGAGATTTACCATGGTTGTTCGTGCGCAACGTTTGCGGATAAGGATTAGAGAAATATCCTGGACAAATACTTAACGATAGACGTTCTTATTGTTTTGATTCTTAATTTTGACCGTTATTTCCTATGTTTCTAAGACGTAATCTAAGATTTGCATCCCTGCACCTCTTTTTTCATATTATTCACAAATTTATCATATAAAATTGAAAATTTCAAGAAAGGAGAAAATAAAGGAATACAAAATGCCTTCATTAGTCGAAAATTATCTATGCTACTTCAAAATTACACTATGACTTTTGGACTCACACTTTGAAATTTCGAGTCAATGAAGAGAGGACAGCTCGAAATATACATGAAAGATGAGGCATGAGACGAGAAGAGAACCCCTCCTTTGAAGAATTTCAGAGGTCAATTCATTTCAGAGGTTGATTAATAAATGTTAAGATAATATATAATCAATTAAAGCAATAAAATATCAAGTCATCTTTGAATATTTTTTGTTAAGTATTTATAATAAGATAATAATTTACAATAAGATATAATAAGATACAATAAGATTTTTAGAAGGAGCATCATTATAATGAAACTTTAGAGAGAATACGTCTAGTACATATGAGATTATACTAATCTAGTATAGAAGTATCTAGTATAGAAATATCTAGTATAGAGTACCTAATCTACATAGGTAACATTGTCAGAGTTAACCACGAATATTTAAACTTTCAACAATATAAAGTATATAAATATCAGTATATAAGCATAATGTACATATATATTCTATATTCTATATTGAAAGCAAACAAAGAATAAGGCAAATAAGAGCCAACTGCCGATCTTAAAGGCGACAATTTAATAAAAGCTTGTGATACATTTATTTAAATATTACAAAAATTCAGACGTTTCGGTCCAAGTTTCAGACCTTCTTCAGTGATAATTACAAACAATTTAGTTTCAAAAACATAGTTACAAAAAAATCGTTTAAGTCGCATAGAAGAACTTGTAAGCCACTGTAATTATCACTAAAGAGAGTCCGAAATTTGGGCCGAAATGTCTGAATTTTTGTAATACTTAAATAAATAAATGCGCCACAAACTTTTATTAAATTGTGATTTTCTCCTTTAAGATCGGCAGTTGACTTTTATTTATCTTATTCTTTGTTTGCTTTGATAAAGTCTCAACTTTAACTTTTGCTCTACATTGAAAGTTTAAATATTCGTGTCAATCAAAATCAAAAACAATAAGAATGTCCAGAATTACATACGTGTCCAAGCATTGACTTTAACGCCATGTTACTCAGAAAATAACTCCGCACGAATATTTGTTTTAAAAGCCTCAAGTTTTCCAACACGATCGTCGCTTTAATCTCCTAAAAATTCCCAGCTATAAAAATAACAAAATAAATTACACGCGCGCGTATTAACCCCGAGTTGTTTTAACGAAATTTGAACATTTTTGGCAAACTAATTTATTATTATTATAACTTAAAAATATTTTAATTATTATATATATGATACATATATATACAATTAAAAAATTAATTATCATTAATCTTTTATAATTCAAAAATTGTTAAACAAGATAAATAAAAAAAGATTAAAAAAGATTAAAATTGTTAAAAAAGATAAATATCAATAATAAAAATCTCGACATTAAAAGTTTTCGACTTAAATTAAACTCAAGATTACATTATTAAAAAAGAAAATTTTACATGATCATGTTGGAAATCTGTGTATGCTGTGATAATGTTTTATTAACACGTTTTGTAAATAAATATATCCGACTATCTTGCATTCGTATACACATTCGTGCACAGGAAGATTAATCGTAATTTTTTAGGGTGAGTTTGTGAATTTATCTGTCTTGTCCATTGGAAAATTTTTCCCATTGGAAAACAAAATCTACCTTTAGATAAGACGAAAAGTCATAAACTCACGCCAAAAAGTGCGGGTAACCTTTCTGTTCTGAATGTATTACATTCAGGAACTAAATGATAGCATCATCTTTTCTTTGATATATTTTGAAATGTATCCTGTATCTAAAATTTATTTTTGATAAAAAGCAAATTCATAAAAAAAAGGACCCGCTACCATTTAGTTTCCGAATGCACAATAATTTTACAATAAGACTTTGATGTTGGCCTACTTCACTAAGCTATGTTTGTTTAGATTCAGACTATAATATCAATTACTCGAGCTTTCTTATGCCAATGGAATTAATATAAGGAATCTCTTAATTAGTAAAAAAATAGAAATAACTATAGAAAAACAACCGTATAACGAGCACAAAGTTCCTTGCCCTAATCTTGTTCTGTGCTTGATAACGTAACTTATATACTTTCTCACCCACATGTATGATCCTAACGACCACTCATCTTACATATTTGAGTTCCAATCGCCTTCCATACGCCAAACGCTGAAGGCGTAAGATAATTTTTCATGCGCCATGTAACTGCACGGTAAGTCTCTACTCTGTCTCGCTGCTATAATTGCATTTCTGGCACTTCTACCTGCTGAAATACAAAAAAATTTTCCTCATTATCTATTTATTATTTAATACTCATGATATAAATTTCGCATTCTCCTAAATTTCTTTTACTGCAAATTTCTCTGACATACGGCTCTCGCTGAAATCACGGCTGTAGATTTTAGTGTAAAGCATGAGTTTCAAATTTACCCCGTATATAAATTACTCAAAGTATTTTTAGATATAGATTTTGATTAGAATGCCAAATTTGTTCCAATATTGGTTACACCACTAAGATGTGAATTGAGAATATCTATATATGTAATACTACTATATTACTAAGAGCGAAAAAGTGGGCGCCAACATTACATATGCAGACATATATCAACTCCTCACTTCCACAGATAATGTACTTCGACGCAAATGCGCATGCGTGCGTTCCGTGGGAGTATCATAACCTGACCAGTTGACCGTACGTAATAAGTATGACAATAAAAATCAGTTATTTTGAAATATTTTTTAGAAAGTAATAATTTTGAAACTGAAGAAAATGAGATTTTGTTATTTATGCGGAAGAAAGGCTGCACAGACTAAAAATATATCTTTACATAAGTAAATATATTGTACAAGATGAGCTAAAATATGTATATGTGTTGTGATTACTTGTGATTACTTACAATAATTAATAACAAATAAAATTATTATTTTCAGATTTCCGAATGTGCAAAACCTACGAAGGAAATGGATTATAGCTTATGGTTTGCAGGAAACAAATGACGTTTCCCGTTTATATATTTGTTCTATTCATTTCAGATATACAAAATACACAAAACTTATTTTATTCTATCATCAGTAAACGTATATTTTGTGTTCAATAAAACTTCTTATACTTTTATGTTGATTTAGTATTATACCCTCTATTTCATTATTTTAGTATTTTACCCTCTATTTCATTATTTTAATATTATGTAGTATTTAATATATCTTGTACTTGTATTTCATACTTTATACATATATTTCATAAACAGTAAAGTAAATATTTTTAATAGTAATATTTTGTACTTATTATGTTCAATATTTTTAACGAATGCATTAGTTATTAAACGAAGCTTTTTGATTTAGCCTTTGCTTTGTATGCTAGCGCATGCGCATAATGTTCAAAATACATGATCACCTATATCTATCGCATTATCTGTTTCGCTTTCTCGGCTTCTTACAGGAAAAGATATACTATTAACAATATAATAATATTATATATATGGAAATATCATTTTCTTAACCAAACATAGGTTTTCTTAGAATTGAAACAGAAATATTATGGGGAACTCATACTTTTTTAATCGATAACATCGATACCTTTTTACGATATCAAAGAACCCCATTTTTACTGTATTCAGTAGAATAAAAAATAAAAAAATATTTTTAAATACTTTGAATATTTTACTAAATAATGGATTTATTTTAAAAAATCAACGCTTTGTTCGATTCTAATGTAAAAGTGTGAATACTGAAAATATATTATAAAATCTTTAAGTTTCCTATTTAGTATCGCATATTTGAAACATTCTTCATGCTTCTAAACAGTATCCATGTTTATTTTGGAGAATCTAATTGGATTTCAATTAGATTCCAAGAAATTTTCTATACGAGGAATCTTGAAACGTCATAATTTTTAATTTACCTCGATAAAGAGATAGTAACACAGCAAGAATTATGGAGAGAGCGCAATCAACAATGATTTAAAAAATAGTTTGGAACAATAATTCTGTCTGCGTGTAACGCAAATTAAAAAACGAAAAAGAAGCACTGATTTACAGTATCGCGAAATGTCAGGAAGAAACGAATTGACTAAAAGAAATTCGCAGTATATTTCCGCCCAGCAAATTCGTCGCAGAGCAGTGAATCGCCAATCGGTGTCGATTCCGACTCTTAGGCCCGTATTAATAGTTATTATTTAAAACTTGCTTCAGGTAAGACACTCAGATTTTAATTTAGAGTTAGATCTGAGTTTCTCAGCTAAATTGCAATTGCAAATGTAATTTCACATGCGTGATATAATTCCAATAAAAAACTCTCATCTAACTCTAAATTCAGATTTGAGTATTTCACGTAGGATGAATTTCAAGTAACGACTATTAATACAAACCTTAATATCTCGGTACCGTAAGTCACTCAGAATTAGGAATGCATTTGTTATTAATAGACAATGCCAAACGTTTCGGTCACTAGAGGAAAGTAGCTAAAAGCGACATAGGCTTCCTAAAGCGACATACCTCTATATCTCATATGTTAAATGTTGTATTTTATCGAAACTAATATGAACGTAATTCATTTCATCAGTTAAGTTATGAAAAATTTATACTTGGTGTAATTCTTGTTCTTTTATATGTTAAATTAGCAAATATCGAGTTTTAGAAATTCGTAAGTTTTATTTCTAAGATTTTTATTGACGTATTACGTAGACTAAACAGCGATAATTATCTTTTTGTTCAATATTAAGTTTTTTACATGCATTTGGCTTTTGTAAAAATATTTTTTTTAATATTTTTATTTTTATCACTTTTTTACTGTATTTTACTTGAAAAATTTTATGAGAATGTGTTTTAAAGTGGCATACCTACGTATACGATAGGAGGACAGGATACTCTGTGACTAACATAACTTGACTCTAACTTCCCATTGTGACGTGACATTTGTTTATTTTAAAGTTTAATTTTGTTTAGTTTAAAAATATAACATATATAAAATATATGAGAAATGAAAAAGATGAAAATGTCAAAATATACTTATTTAATTATGTTTCCCTTTTGTAACATTATATTTTGAATAAATGAATATTATTCAACCATTAAACGCATTAATAAACTATTTTTTATAAATATTATCATATATGCAACATGTTATATAACTTCCAATAAGTATGTCGCTTTTGGCACTTATTTTCTTTGAACTCCATTTTCGTGCGTTTTACAAAAACATTTTTTGTTTTAAATCTAGAAATAATTTCAGTAAAAGTATGATATTATCTAATAGAAGGTACTTCCAACTACATGTATATATATTTACATTTATATCTTGAGCTTTACATTAAGACATAACCTTTAAAAACAAAATGATATGTCGCTTTTGGCGCCTTTACTCTATAAAAATAACTTTATTTTTATACACTTAAGTTTCTCATCGTTACACTTTAATCTCCTAAGATAAAATTTATTTAGCAGATCTACTGTCTATATTAACAGTCGTTACTTGAAATCTAGATTTAGGAGAAACTAATTACAATTTCGTTAATTATTGTATTTAATTGACTATTATATTATAAGCCAATTCAACTGAAAACAAACAATTTAATTGACAATTTAATTAATGATTTATGTCGACAAATTTAATCGGAGATTGTTCTATTAACGACTAATTTCAACCAATTTAAGTAAAAACCACTCGATTACGTAGTTACGTAAAAATACAATCCATATGTATGTTTCGAGAAAAATGAAGATGGAAATTTGATATATAATTTAAAAAGTATAAATAGTATTATTTTGCAATCGTTCAAGAATTCAAATGTAATCAATTATATTTTTTTTAAGATATTTATTAATAGCTTAATCCTTAAAAAATTAAAAAGAAATAAGAAAGAGACCAAATTAGTAAAAAAGGTACAACTAATAAAAAATAAAATTTATTATTAATTTGTATTTTCGTTAATTTTAGGCAACCTTAAGACTTGAATTTTTTTTGTTTTATCTATAAAGTATGTATACTACTCACTTGATAACAAAAACTCAAACATTATTTTGTGAATTAGATCATTCTTGCATAACTCTATGGTTAATTAATATGAACATTGTTTAATTAATGATGAACTTAGCAAATATAATTAATAGTCGTTTAATTAACAATTGACATAAACAAATTCAATAAAAAACTGTTCGATAACGATTGATATAAGTGAAGATAATCGGAGTTAAACTTACAAGGAAAACTTACAAGGAAACACTACTCGAGTGTGACACGCCATTTTTCTTGAAACTCAGCATGCACATAGCATATGACATGACATTTCATATTTGATACTTTATATCGGCTCATTTTTTAATTTGCACAATTATTTAGACGATTATTTAAACAAAACTCGAGATAGTGATGTGTGTAAAATCTGATATTTATAAGCCCATAACATGTAAATCTGAAACACATAAATCTAAAAACTATAAACCTATAAACCCGTAAATCCGAAATCCATAAGTCACCAAAACACATAAACAATCGTTTAAATAATTGTGCAAATTAAAAAACGGGCCAATATAAAGTATCACATATGAAATGTCATGTCATATGCTATGTGCGTGTTGAGTTTCAAGAAAAATGGAGTGTCACACTTGTAGTGTCCCTTGTAAGTTTAACTGTTAATTGAACAATCTCCGATTATCTTCACTTATCAATCGTTATCAAACAGTTTTGCATTGAATTTGTTTATTGTTTATGTCAATTATTAATTAAACGACTATTAGTTATATTGTCTCTTGTGTGTTAGAAAATTTAATTAAAGATCGTTTAATTAACGATTGATATGAATAAATTCAATCAAAAGCCGCTCGATAACGATCGCTAAAACTTGGAACAAGAGAGTTTCTAACTACATGCATGAATGAGTTGTAAATTTGACGGAAAAAAAGATATTTGACGGATTTTACCGTCTGTCACAAGGATCCAGTAACCCAGCCGAAAGTGGATATTACAGATTTCGCGTCTTGTCTGAAGAAGTGAAGGAGGCTGTTTTATCTTACTCTCATGCACCTTTTATATGGAAAATAATTCACAGTTACAATTGATTTTATAAATAATATTACTCGAAACAGCGTGAGAGATATCGATAATTTAGAAGCACTAAGTAGAAACCGCGTTGAAGGATGCACTGGTCATATTAATCGTCACCGAACGTTCTTCGATTAAATTTGTTTGTATCAATCGTCAATTAAATGGCTCTTAATAAAATTTGTTAAGTTAAATCCTTAATCAGACGATTCGTTTCACTGATACGAA